AGCTGATGTAGAGGATTCTGGTCCTCAATCATGATAACTGAAGTAGAGAACAAAGTTGTGGATGTTGTGCAAGGAACCCCAGATGCTAAGCTGAGAAGCAGGACTCATGAATCACATCCAGAAGAACCTAGATCCTCTCATAATGAGATTCAGGTGTCCAACTGGAAGCATAAGAGTTCACATCCTCTTTAGAATATGACCACTCCTCTTGACTTAGGGATTCAAACTATATCAAAGTCAAGAAACTCACTTGCCTGCTCAACCTTTCTCTCTCAAATTGAGCCAAAATATTTCAAGGAAGCATTGAAAGATGCTGACTAGATCACTGCCATGCAAGATGAACTCCATCAATTCTAGAGGAACAACGTATGAAACCTGGTTCCTCGACCAGCTGATAGAATTGTATAGGAACCAGGTAGTTATTTAGAAACAAATTGGATTAGTTTGGAAACACGACAAGGAATAAGGAAACACTACTAGTTCAAGGATATAATCAAGAAGAAGGGGTTGACTATGAAGAAACCTTTGCTCCAATTGTCCGAATGGAGGCCATCAGAATCCTTATTTCTTTGAATCCCATATGGAATTCAAACTATTCCAAATGGATGTCAAAAGTGCATTTCTGAATAGTTTTCTAAAAGAAAACATTTTCGTCAAACAACCTCCTGGCTTCAAATGTCATGAGCATCCTGATCATGTTTTAAAACTTGACAAGGCTTTGTATGGGCTGAAGCAGGCTCGTCGCACATGGTATAAAAGTTTGTCCAGATTTCTCCTAGAAAATGGCTTTATAAGAGGAAAAATTGATGACACCTTATTTTTTAAGAAACGAGGGAGGAACCTGCTTATTGTGCAAGTCTATATTGACGATATCATCTTTGGTGCAACAAATGACTCTCTGTGTGAAGAATTTGCAAAGCTCATGGGAAGCGAGTTTGAGATGAGCATGATGGGGGGATTAAATTTTTTCTTAGGTCTGCAAGTTAAGAAAACTCAGAAGGGCACAATGATAAGTTAGTAGAAGTACATCAAAGAGCTTTTAAAGTGAATTAAGATGGAAAGTTCAAAGGTCACTAATACCCCTATTACCACTAAAACTCATTTGGACATGGATGAACCTGGTTCTCCTGTGAATGAGACCATGTACAGAGGTATCATTGTGTCACTCTTATATCTCACAGCAAGCAGACCATATATCATTTTTAGTGTGAGACTGTGTGCCAGGTTTCAATCTAATCCAAAGGAGTCTCATCTGAAGGCGGCCAAGAGAATCTTGAGGTATCTCAAAGGGAAGCAGGACTTAGTTCTCTACTATCCCTTAGGAGACAATTTTGACTTGGTCAGGTATGTTGATGCTGATTATGCTGGTTATCTGGTGGATAGGAAAAGCACTTCCGGCATGGCACACTTTTTGGGATCGTGTCTAATCTCATGGGGTACAAGAAAACAAAACTCAGTGGCTATTTTAACTGCAAAATCTGAGTATGTGGTAGCTACCTCTTATTATGCTCAACTGCTATGGATCAAGCAGCAGCTAGAAGATTTTGGTATTTTTTCTAATTTTGTGCCATTACTATGTGTCAACACCAGTACTCTCAACATGGTCAAGAATCTCGTTCATCATAAGAGAACAAAGCATGTTGATGTGCGACACCACTTCCTTAGAGTTAATGTTGAAAAAAGCTTATTTGTACGAAGTTTTGCCGTACAGAAGATCAAATTGCAAATATCTTTACCAAATCACTAAGTAGAGAGCATTTTGAAAAGAATCATTTGGCACCGGGGTTGATCAAATCAAGTTGAGGACCTGGTCCCTCAATGATTGGCTATGAAAGAAATGAATAGGTAAAATAGCTAAAAGTGTTTACTGGTGAGGTCTAACTCATTTCTATACCGTTACAGGTAGACATGCATGGCGATTACAGGGCAAACAAGAAGCTAATAGTATTACACTTTGGTAAAAGGATGCGGCTCTCATCTACAAAATCTGTCAGGGAACCTGGTTCCCTTGACACAAGTTAGTAGTCCCTTTTGTACTATCATGCACAATTTTTTAAATGGATAAAACACAACAATAAAATGTCATTTTTCAATTTTTCTTTTTGAAACCCAAGCGTACAACAATTATGAAACCATCCGCCTACCCAAAAACTCAATACCCATTCCCAACCGGTCCCTCACCCCCTTAAATTAATCCAAACGATGTCACTCTCATAACAACCAAAGACTCTCTTCCTCCTTAAACCTTCACTATACTATACCATGTCTGAAAATCTCGAAGCCACAAATGTCCCAAGTCTCGTCCCCACTATGGCTTCATCTATTGAAGCACCAGTGACAGAGTCGAAGTATCCTATGCCACCCAGTACAAACACTAAACAAGATTCCCAACCACACATTATCTCTTTTCCAACCCAGTCAAGTTTTGGTTCTCATCGGACATACAAGACTTCGAACCCCAAGAGGTTTGTAGCTATGACCTCTCCTTCTGCCTCATCGGAAAAAAATGGTTGAGGGAAAAATAGTAGAAGGAGAAGAAAATCCAGAAGTCTCCAGTCTGCGAGTAGAAGAGAATCCTGAAGCGCAACAGGGTATGGTTCACAATGGTGATGAATCAGCAATGACTACATCAGACCTCGATTTGAATGTCGTCAATTCTACAAGTAATACTCTTCATGTGCCTTCTGAGTTTACTTTGGAGTTACAAGAATAAGAAGCCATAGAAAATATGCTGTCAATAGCTACTGAGGGAAGTTTGGTGGGTGGTTGTGAAGGTGTTTCTGAAACCCATGGGCCTCAGGGGGAAGGTGATAGTCTACAGGTAGAGGGTAGAGAACTAGTGCCTATAAAAAATTTGGCTCCTTAAAGTACTATTGGAGAACCACATGAGGGACATGATCCCTATGCCCAAGAGGAGCTCTATTCTTCTACTTGGGATGAAACCTCTGGTTCTCCATAAGAACCCCAGGTCAGTATTGATTCCGCTCCCTCTCCTCATTTCCATGCTGAGACACTGATAATTGTTGTTCCTGAAATGAGATCTCTGTCTGGGGAGGAGAATGAGGATAGTGAAGAAGACTATGATAATGTGGCTCTTGCAAGCTTTATTAGTGCTAGGAGTAAAAAGGCAACTCCAAAGGAGTCCACTCCTAAGAGGCCTACTACTAGGCTATAGAAGAAGGAAGCTCTTGAATCTGTTCTAAGGCAAAACAAAGAAGAAAAGAAGAAGAGGAGATTAGTGAAGGATGGAAAGTTTATGAATAAGAGGGTAGTGCCTCCAGCACTTGTTGTGGATGTTGATGATGAGGTGAATGAGGAACCTAGTTCCTTAGATCGTAAGTCCTCCAAGAAACCTTCAGTTTTGAAATCCAGGAAGGAGTCATCTGAGAGTGTGATAGAGTTTAGCAATGTTGAGGCTGAAAAGTATGGTGAGAAAGCAGTTGAGGAGTCTAGTAAGAAAGTGGTTGAGGAGTCCTTGAGAATGTGATTGAGAAATATGTGTCTAAGAAGGTGTCTAAGAAATCTGTAGACAAAGGGAAAAGTGTGAAAAGATAAGTGAAAAGAAAAGCCGGTGAGGAAACTGGTTCCTCCAAGAGGGCCAAGCTGTGTGTGGACAAGGATGCAGGAAGAGAAAACTTAAGAATCAAAAGGTGTTATGGGGCAAAAAATTTGACCCTGATATTATATACATGCCTGGTATGCGCCAACTAGTAGAAATTTGTGAATCTCAATAGTAGACACATTTTTTCATGGTAGTGTATGAGGCAGAAGTGCGCAGTTTCTATGCTGACTTTTTCACAATAGAGGATGACAACATATGCATGAAAGTGAATGGGGTTGACTTTGTGATGGATGAGAGTGTGTTGGGAACCATCTTTGGAGTGCCTACTGGCGGCATATCCTCCATTGAAGGGACTTGTTCTTCAAACTTCAGAAATGTCATTTTCAAGGATAATGTAGTACAGCACGGGGAACGGGTACATAAGAAGGTCCTCCTTCTTGTGTACCAACTGATGTTTCAAATGGTCAACAACGTTCTACTCCCACGTGCAAAAAGACTTCCATTACATCATGAGGAGACCTATTTCTAATGGAAGCATTAGATGCCCACTCCACTATAAACTTGTCTAGTTTAATAATAAAACACATGAAGAAAATGGCGTATTTTAAGGATGGTAATAATGGGTTGCTGTATGGGTTCCTACTCACCAAAGTATTTAACTACTTCAAGGTCCCCTTAGGAAAGGCTACAGTAAGTACTCGCAAGCAAACCATCTCCAAGACCAGCTTAAAAGAGTGTGAGTGCATCGATAAATGGGGAGGGGCTGGCAACACTTCCACTATCTCTCAACTAATTTACGCTCAGAATACTGCCACTGAAGAGATAAGGAAACTGAAGGAAAGGAATGCCATTCTTGAAGGTTAGCTCAGTCAGGCCCAGGAGGCACCTGGTTCCAGCAGTTCACATGCCCGACTGATAAAGGAAAATGCTGATCTGAGGAAATAGGTCGAGGACCTGAAGGAGAGGCTGCTCAACAAGCAGGTGTCAGCAAATGCTTGAATGAATGTGTTTAGTGACTGATACTCTTTTTTTGCTATTATAATTTGTGGATGATTATGTAACAACTGATACTGCTCCCTGCTTATTTTCAAAATTAATGAATATCCCGTCCTTTTGATGTACATACTTTGCTCTTATGCTCAATTTTTAGTCATGTTTGTGTGTACACATGTGGCATGAGTTAACCAGGCTACACTTATTTTTGCTTATTGCTTGTGCTTAATCATTTTATGATGCCAAAAGAGGGAAATGAATTGAGGGGGAACAAGAGAGGGAACAAGTTCAAGGGAAATATAGAAAATATGCATGACACTCTGGTTCTCACGGGAAATTTCTATTACAAGTTTGTCATCATCAAAAAGGGAGAAATTAATAGGTTATGTGACCTGCTATGTTTTTATGATCTAACAAACTTTAAGAACCAGATGGGGAACCTGCTCTACATCCTCAGGTGCTCAAGAACAACAAGTGTTAAGTCGGGGACATGTCTCAACAATTCAGAGTCAAAGAAACGATAAAGGGAACAGATAGATATCAGTTCTCTCGCTGACCGTACTAAGTCACCTCCCCAAAGCTGTAAAGCTACTGCAATTGTTTCTCTGCACGCACGCAACAAGGCAAGCAGTGCAGCAGTCACTTTATGGGAATGCCTTTGTACCAAATGTGTTTGCATCATCCAAGTGACATCACTTGGGTAATATTAACATGAAACAAAGCAAAAACAAGTCACTTGCACACTCCAAAATTGAAAAAGCTTTTTCTCAGGTGTGTCAATCTTGCAAGTGACTTTCAAGGCTTTAAGAACAAAGAACAACATAACAAAGGATCAGTTTCCTGCATTGAGTCATTACATGTCCTTAGTTGTGTTGCACCTTTGATAATGTGATTTACTTGTAATTCCTACTTAGCTTAGTTAAGAAGCATTGTGTAAGAAACCGTTTGTAAAACCATAAACCTTGTGTCTATCTTGGCTAGAGTTAGTCGAGCTGTAAGCTTTGTAATAGAGTTATTACAAAGAGGCTTGTAATAGAATTATTACAAGTTAGTAAGGGATTAAGAGTTTAATTCCTAGATTACAATAGTTTGTAATCCAAAATTTGCTCAGTAGTGAAGTTGAAATCCTAAGAGTGTAGGTCGTAGTTTTTAATCCCGTGAGCTGGGAATTCTCCACAAAAAACTCCATTATGTCATTTACTTATTGTTGTGTGCATGTATTTTGTGAAAACTAATAGAAAACCCGATTCTCTATATAGTTTGGTGGATCCTTAGTTTCTATCAACATGCCATATTGCTTCCACGATCAATGTGTGCCACTGGAATATTAAGGAATTAATAACGGAGTCATTAATTAGAAGATACCTTGACGGTTTATTCATGCATGTAAAACGGAATCTCGCACATATATGAACATTAATGGAAATGATAAAAGCAAAGTTCAAAGAAGAAAAAATTGCAATAATAGCCAATTCTTGTCACAAGGTAACTCTGCTGGTTAGGCTGAGGCAAGCAGCTGCATTCCTCAGCTCATTCTGAGACAAATTCTCGAGAGATTGTGTATCCTTCCAAGATGATTCGGAGCTGCACATGATCAAAGTAAATTTTACTATTATTATTCAATATATGTTTAACAACTACCAAAATCCTTTGAATTAAATGTGATATTCTCTCTATCAAACTAAGAGCCCGTTTGGACATAAGAATTTTCATCTATTTTTTTGATAAAAGTTCACTTTTTTTCGAAATCAGTGTTTGGCTATAAAAATTTTAATTTCCACTTGAAGATAAATTTTAAAATTTTTCGAAAATTTGAAAAACTCTAAAAAGCTATTTTTTCAAAATTTCTCTCACTCACAAAAATTCAAAACAACCCAAAATTATATTCATGTCGAAACACAACTCTAATTTTCAAATCCCATTTAACTTGAATTTTTTTTCACTTTTATTTTTGAAATTTTACAATTCTTATGTAAACGCCCACTAACTTTTAAGTTGTTACTTTAAATATATATATATATATACTTTAGTGCAGAATTAGTAATATCGAGTTGCAAATGCGATGAAAAAAAGCAATTGTTGGAGAGACATCTCAAAATATTTAATATTCTTTGTACCCTCCTTCCAATTAATATGACACTCTTTATATATTGAGATACATTTCAAAATATTACTAATATTTTATATACATCTTTAACAACATTCAAAAAATTCACTGAACAATTCAAACTTTTAACTCATACTATTGAGATATTTTCTCTCTCAGACTAGTAACTTCTAAACTATTAGTCCGATATTTTCTTTTACTATTCATTGTGTAGTCAAATACAGTCATATAGATCAATGAAGGAATACAAAGATACCTTGAGTCACATGCTTCCTTGGTTTCAACATAAGATTGCCTATCATCAGCCATAATATTGTTGAAGGGGTTAATTAGGCACTCATATTCATGTGAAATGTCTCGTTGATGATCATCTCGAACTCCAAATCCAAATATTACATGATCTGAAGCTGCAAATGTTATTGAACTATTATGGCCAAATAAAGAATCAGAACCCAACAAATTAGTTTTTGGCCCACCTTCACTACATTCTCCTTCACTAGTGAAAAATGGACCCATTGATATACCATTAACAAAAGGTATTTCAGAAGTAACGCCGCGCTGCAAGGCTAGTTGTTGTTGTTGTTGTTCTCTGTAGAGGGCGAGTTGAGCATAGACATAATGAAGTTCTTCGAGGGCGAGTTGTAACTGTTGACGAAGGTGACAAATGTATTCCACGCAACCATAGACGGGGAATCTCTCCCACATGTCTGACTCAAAGATGATGGATTTCATGGCGTCCGCCTTCTGATCGTCGTCATCCAATTGCCTGAGGATTTTCATAATGTTGCATACACCGAAGAGCCTATGCGCGTTTTGGAACATTTTAGGCTGATTTGCTGGGAAATAAGGAGCTAACACACACTCAGAAGAACACTTTCTTCTTTGGTATTTGCATGCAGCACAAGCAGGACTTGTCCCACCTTTGACTGTCATTTTTCAACTTTTCCAAGTCATATATTGTTACTTATAACTAATACTCAAAAAATGATAGTACTAGTATTTGTTAATTCTAAATAATTTTGATTTCTACTTCTTAAGTTGCTATAGTAAATGAGTTTCTTCTAGTGGTATTGCTATATATGGAGAGTAAACAAGAAAGACGCATGAATCAGTTGGGATCTAGCAAAGACTAAGTAATAAGTAACTATTTGAAAATTCCGATTGTAATGGGATTTTGATATTGAACGTTGAACAGTAAAAAGAGTCGTACGTACGCACGTACACAGAGAATTGAAAATATTATCACTTTTAAAATATGACAAATCCCAGTTTAGTTTTTCAGTCTAAATATTTTTATATTATCGATGTATCTTAACCTATAATAATAGAATATTAGTTACTATTTTTATCACGTTAATAATCAAATAATTTTGTTATATAGATTTACTTATAATTACTTGATAGGCGATCTGATTGAGTATATACTCTTATAATAATGAGTTTAAGTTTTATGCATTATGTGTGATAGTAGTTCATACATAATAGTAGTTAATATATTAGAAGGTTGGTACTTGGGGTGGATGTATTGTATTACAGATGGGTTCAATTGAACCCATAACTTTCGGCAGGGAGCTAGAATCTACATTAAAAATTCAATAAAATTTTAAAAATAGTAGATATGAACCCATAACTTTAAAAATATAATGAGTTCAATGCTAAAAACTTTAAATGAACACGTAAGGTTTAAATCCTGTATATGTCTCTGGTTGATACTATTTTTTTCGAGTTATCGCTTAAAGATCATAAGGGTTTACCTATAATTACGGTATAAATGACCCGATTAATTAAATAAATTTTATATTGTCAATGATCAAACTTATATTTTCTATGATAAACCTTGGTAACCTAATCAAAATGATAATTAATTGTTATAGTAAGTTAAACTAGTTAGGTGTATATGCTACCTAAAAACTTTTAAACAGTCAGTGTACATTACTTTAAATCCCAAAACAAATTAGTGACGGGTCGTTTGTGATTCATTATATACATATATTGTTCATGTGTGATGGCAACGGTAGAAGGATAGATCCCCGACGTGCATGTATTCCTTTTCAAAAGACTCTATGGTGGCTCAGATAATATTTGACTATTTTAGTCCAAATGAATTATGACTGAATTTGAGGATTAATTCATTCCCTTCTCACCGTGGAATCTGTTATACTTGAGAATTCTCTCGACCCACGTTTGTAGAAACATTCTTACTCCCTCCGATTCACAATAAGTAATCAATTTGTTTTTTTATTTTGGTTCAAAATAAGTGTCCAGTTATATAATCAAGAAAGAATTCAATTTGTTTTTACAAAATAACCCTTATGTACATATCCCTAAAAAGTTTTCTTACTCCTCACATTAAATGTTTAATTAGGGATAGTTTAGTCATAGCAGATATTTTGTATAGAATTTAGTATTTTCTTAATAGGCGTGTTAAAAGCAAATTGGACACTTATTGTAAGTATTATTTTAAACCGTACTAATTAATAGTAAGACTGTTAGGTGTTGACTGTTTCGAAGATACTTTAAGAAGATGCATGATTTGTAGAATAATTGAAATATTGTAAGGGGTCGTTTGGTAGCCCATTAGGGAAAAAGTTATTCATGTATTAGCGGTAATTGTTTAACCAAAAATCTGAGTCTTTGGTCAAGGCTATAAAGAAATTCGGGTTACTGATAATCAGGAGACGAAAACAAAATACTTTTGAGAATGATGGTAAAGCAGTAAATAGTTTTGTATTTCAGTAAGATCCCAATAATATTTCGTATATTTACAGATGGTGAGTTCTTCTCCTTTTATAGCAAATCCTAGGAGAAGAGGTAATGTCTTTGTCTTAATGAGGCAATTATGAGCAATAAATGACATTAAAAGAAACGTTACACAATCATTTCCTTTTAAAACAAATATTCTAACGTATTTGATATTTAATGCTATATTTAAACTCTTTTACGTCATCAGATTCGTATCTTCAACTTCTTCCGATCTTCGGTCTTTAGATGACTTGGATAGGTAGAGACTCGTACCTATTTTAGTAACGGTCCGCACCAATGTTGCTTTCTTTTTCCCTTATCCGTTGTCACCCGTGCCTCTTGGCTATTTATTGTGTTTTGACCGTTTGACCAGTCCACGTGTCATGCCACGTCACCTACAATGTAAATTCAGTTTTTTCCCAATACAGATAGTCCCCCCACTTTCCATTTATTTATCAAGTAAATAATTGGGAAGTGGATTTTCATAAAAAGGGAATTTTTGCCGTAATTAATATTATGACAAATACTGACGCTTCAATTGTCCCTTCCATTTAATGCTTTACATACGTGTCACCTTCTGATTGATTCTGCAATTCTACCCCCTTTTTTCGAGACTTCTTCATTCACACTATTCACGAAATGATAGTTGCCTTTATTATAGGCTTTCCTTCATTGCACTTCTAAGTTTGACGGTTGTCATTATAAGCATTTTTAACCCTCTTTCGTTTACCTTCTTCTTCATAGATCTTCAACAAGCAATTTCTTACTTACTTGTATTTTCTCTCCCTTTTAGTACATCCTTCTTCAACAATGTCATCTCCAAACCCTAACCCTAGAAAAGTTCCAATTCTTGATCACTTCCCCAATGCCCCTACAAGACATAGGAGAGGCAGAGGAGGTAGGCTTCGGAGCTTGGGCCTAGGGTCCGCTCGTGATGGTTTATCTGGTCCTGCTTCTTCTTCTCCTAATATCGGGAGTTCTATTCCGAAGGCCCCTTCTTCTAAAGGTAAAGAAATCCTTGATTCTTCTCAAGAACCTTTAGTCGATGAAATTGTTCCCAGTGATTTGTCTTTTGGGAGTGATAGAACGTCTCTTCAAAGGCAAATTGCAAATTTAGAAAAAGCTGACACTTATCCTTCATTAGTAACCGAGCTTACAATTCGTACAATCAGAAGGGATTGTAACTGGAGCAATAGCCTACGAATGTCAATTCCTTCCCCAAATCAAAGAATTTCTTCCTTTAGAGATGGTTATTCTTTCGTTTATACTTTCCCATTTACTTTGGGTTTTAATCATCCGGTTGACCCAGTCATTATTAACTTTTGTCGTTTCTTTAAAATCTGTTTGGCCCAAGTCGGTCCCCTAGTGTGGAGAGCAGTGGCTTATCTGAGATACTTATCTACCAAAGCCAATGTTGACTTCACTCTTTCTCACCTTATTCATTTATACCATCCCAATTTAATGCGCCATGGGGTTTTTACCTTAACTGCAAGAAGCAAAAAGGTTTCGGTAAATCCTGAAGATGACAGGGATCGTGGATGGTACACCCGTTACGTTGCTGTACGTACGGTGGACTTGCTTGGTGAAACAAATATTCCCTTCCCAGAGTAGTGGAATTTTGCACGTAAATTTCCTTTTATTTACCACACCTATTTTTGAGAATTCTGATTCTTTTTCTCACTTCGTCTCTTTTTGGTTTTTTGTAGCAACCATGGAAGATGTGGAACTTATTCCTAACTTCCGTGGTTGGGTAGATTCAATTTTGAAGATTGCTCCTAAGGATCAAAGAACTTGGAAATCAATTTCTTCTTTACATGGCTGGAAGGTGAAAACACATGGTATGTCCCTTTTTACACGTTTTTTTTTTCTTACATGCCAAGCACCTTTTTCTCAATGTTGATTATGTATCCTTATTTTGATCAGGATTTGGTGTTAGAGGAATGACAGCTGAAGTAGCTATGACCATTCGCATGTCTGCTAATGCTGCACTTGATTTGAACAAAGTTCGAGCTTCGCTTCCCAAAAGGAAAGCTATAGGAGAAATTTTTGAGAATGAGGAAGAGGAAGATACCTCTTTAATTGCCAGTCCAAGAGTTAGGAGACGAGTCATTAATAGTGATGAAATTGAGGATACCCCTGCTCAAACTTCGTCCACCGAGCCTGTTTTGACTCATTCTGACGAGGACACCATGCCAAAAGATACTAATGAATTAACTCAGCGTCTTTTTGATAGTGGTTTTGAGAGTGGCGAGCCCGGCCCTGTTTTTGATGAAGCTCCTCTCTCCTCATTCGTTCCTATTTCCTCCATTCCTTTGCCAGTTTCAACTGCACCTGCTTCCGTTCCTGTGTCAGTTTCTTCATCTTCTCCTTCCATCCCTTCTTTGACTCTTATGGCTCCTGCTGCTGTGTTTTCCTTTTCTACTACTCCTCCTTCCATGGCTCCTCCTCNATTGTTGTGCTTTCCTTTTCTACTACTCCTCCTTCTATGGCTCCTCCTCCCTTCGTTCAGCATACAAAGGCGGGTTCTAGCAGTAGAATCATGGCTATGAGAAGTGTTACTCTTGAAGTTCCTGCCAACCATAGCCTTTTGAGAAAGAATGGTAGAGCTGATGTTTGGCTCGAACCTCTAATCAGTGATATTGAGAAGAAGAAGATGGAGAGCCACAGTTGCCTGACTCTGATGAATGACATAGTTCATTCTATTTTGAAGGTATTTTTCCTTTACCAACAAGTTTTTTATTTTCGATCTACAAATCCTCATTTCTATGAGTTGTCTCTGTAGGCTAACCTCATTGGTACAGAATTGATGGGAAGAATTTCCCTTCTGGAAAGAAAAACCCGTGAGTCTGAAAAATCTATCCATGAGGCCGAGGAAATAGCCAGGGGAGCCCAGCTTGAAGTAGCTAATTGGAAAGAACAGTTTGAGAATGCTTTGGGGATCATAGAGGAGTTGCAAGAAAGTAGAAATCTCCTGGAGCAGCAAAAGCGTGGTTTGACTTCTGAACTAGCGACTGCCAAGGCTTCTTCAAGCCAATTTAAAAGAGATAAAGAGCTTTTGGAGTGCTCAATGTCAGAACAATTATCAAAGGCTAGTGAAGAAGTCAGGGAGCTTAAGGCACTTTTAGCCAAGAAAGAAGAATATGCAGGAGAATTAGTGCAAAGCTTGACTCAAGCTCAAGCTGACTTACATA